ACAGTGTCATTCCACCCTGACTTATACAGGAACCGCTTTGGGGTTTTGGATGGTGGGCTGGAACCCTACCCACCATCACTCAAGTGTATCTCTCATTAAAGGCTCAAACTCACAGCTGAGAGTGAGCCACTCCGCCTCATAAAAAAAAAAAAGCACCCATATTTTTCCTTCTGACCTCCGGTTTCCTAGGCTGCACATAGCTATGGGCTAGAAGGTTGTGCCTCTAGCGACAGGCTGGAACCAGGTGGAGGAGGGATCCTGAGAAGCCAGGGCTCTTTTCTTGAAGTTTTGGCTACTTAACCTTCGAGAGGCCAGAGCACTTTGGACTGCTCGGCTTGACCACATGTCTTTCACAAGGACATTTGGGGTGACGCCATCTAGTGCTCTGTTGCTCACACACATTTTCGAATTCCTCTGGAACAGTCTATTCCTTGACAACCCAGAACTAACTAAATAAAAGTCCCCATAACTAACTAAATAAAAGTCCCCGTAGAGGACTGCAGAGCTTCAGAGGACCTGAACCCTTTAAATAAACCACAGTCACAAGTGCTTAAAGGTGCTTGAAGGGGCTCACAGTGAGATCACTTCCAAGTTCCCCTGTCCCCCACAGTCACCAGGGTACCCTCAAAGCCCTCCACATTTTTATGGAGCCGATCTAGTTTTCGGAGGGAAAGGAGTCATTACTGCATGGTTAGTGGCTTCAGCTGGGTAAGAACATCAACGTGTGTGTGGGGGGGTGGTGAGTGGGTATTCATTACCTAACCCTTGCTGGCAGGCCGATTTTATCAGTGACTTGGCCGCTGGTAGCTCTTGATGGACGTGGGTGAGTTCGGAGCCGCCTGGAAACACGAAGGAAGGGCTGGTGTCAGATGAGAGGCTTCTCATCAGCTTTTCTCTGACAAACCAAATTCATTCCTTATGTAATTGATAACGGCCTTGGCCAATTATTTCCCACATTACAATACACAGAGGCCCCCTTTACAGGTTTTGCAGGGCTGTAATTAGCTATGCTAATATCCCCTTTATTGGCCCTAATATTGCTCAACACCTTTTGCCATCCTGGAGCCCACTAGAGCCCCATGGCCTGTCAGGACTGCTGATTATTGAGAAGGATAGCTTTAATCAAACATAATTGCAGTTAATTTTTCTCTCCTGCTCTCTGTTGCCAGCGTCTAATGCCACGGACTCCTTGATATTCCATTAAATTACAATTAAACAGCCTCCTTTGTCTCTGATTGTCCTGAACACCACCACAAAGTTCTGTAGCCGTTTAAAGGAGAGCTGTTTGGTCCTAATTGCCTGCTAGCTCACAAAGGGCCAATTTACACAATACCCATGTAGAATTTAAACAGTTCATAATGTAATGGATATTACACAGGAGCCTAACACTACAATTAAAATGATTTTCATCAGATAGAGAAGCTTCGGTTAATCAGCTTCATAAAAGTAAATATAAATGAACTAATTCATAGCTTAAACACACAGAGATGGAGCCGACTTTGAAATTAGTTACTGTGGTGGGGGCTCTGTTCGCCCCTTATCCTGGGATACCCATGCTGGGCTCCGGTGGAAATGGTAGGTCCCTACTTGTTCTAGCCTCTCCTAAAGCAGCTTCATCCCTCTGCGGTCCTGTATTCATGTTACCATTGGAGTCTTGTTGTTGGGTCTCTGATGCAACACCACCCAAACAAAACTCTGAACTCTCCTCATTGGGTGCCGTGGGCCACACCCTTCCACAGCAGGAGGATAAGTGTCCCATCAGGAGGGGATTTTTCAACCTTAAACTCAAGCTATTGGGCTAGGCCTGCTGTCCTTCCAGCCAAAGGCTTTGCCGTGTCATGTTCCCAGCCCGCCATCATGGGGATCTCTGGCATTAGAAGAGTGAACCAGCCCTCCCAAGAAGGAATGAGAATAGTATGGCCACTGTCCTAATCTGTGCGATCCTGAGGAAAGTCTGTTTCCACAGTGATGGCCTGTTACTTTCTGCCTGAGAACTTTCTGGAATTTTTTCGTGGTCTTTCCAAGAGGAATATTCCTGGGGATTGCGTGGTGTGGAGCAGTTTGTGTTTAGCCCCTGTCTTCCCCTCGGCCTGTAAGAAACAAGTAAATAAAGCCTATATTTCAAGCTTGATTTACTCTGGTTCCTACTGTGAAAGATGATGAGTCTTTAGGGAAATAAAGATGGGGTCAGGGAATTAGTGCACATAACGGTCATTTTGACGTTGGGCCAGCAGATGCCAGGGAAACACACTGTACACAATTAAGCATAATGTACTAATGACAGGTTAGAAATTTTATCGCCTCTTGGCGATCAAGCAGCAAATCCACATTTAGCAATAATAAAGAGTTTATTGGTGCTAAAGCCAAAGATTTTCTGACATACGAAGGATTTTTCCTTTCATAACAGGAGTTTTAAATCCTTTGTGTACCAGACTCTGGAAGTGAGAGATGCAAAGTGGTTGTCAGATATTTCTTAGGAAGCAGCCAATTAAAGGGTAATTGAGTAAAGGATGTGGGAATTGCCATTGGACCTCATGCGTGGGCATTCAGTTTTCTCACCCCTTTCCCAAACATTGCCACAGCACACCTCATGGAGCGCGTCCACTCCCACGCAACAGTGCGCGGTGGCAGCATGCTCGCCTCGACTGGGCTGCACGTCCCGCCTGTGAATCCTTAATTGTATCCTAGAATTAAACAGGAACCAAACCACGGGTAAAAATAAGCACTCCTTGTGTGCAGAGGTTTCCCTCGAGCCTGGCAAGGTGGCGCTGGCTTGTGGTGGACTTTGTATCATGGGAGCCGGGGAACTTGGAAAGGATCCTGCTCTGTATCGGGGTTGTTCCCAGTAGATCTTTCTCACGTACCCATGACCACTGCCGTTATACGCTCTGCACAGAAGAGCTGTGATTGCCACGTGCAAGAGAGAGAACAAGCATGAACATGTGTGCCTGATGTCTGTGCCCGCTTCTGCTCCCAGCCCCCCCCCCCCCCCCCCCGTGCTCAGCGAGCTCGTGGCACCCAGCACCCAATCTTACTCTTCTGGTTTCTGAACTGATGCTAGTTAAAAGCCCCAGAATGCCCAGGGCTGCTTAGGATGTCTTTAAAACCCACTCTGCTATCTTGGAGGTAAGAGGACCAAGCTGGCTAAACCGATATCAAGGAATTTAGAATAACCTCCTCAGAAAGGGGAGAAATGCTTCATTTTACGAAGTAAAAAAAAGCCCCCGACACCAGCTCTGCGTAGGTACCTTTGCGGATGAGCAGCTTCTCGCCGGCGCCTGCTCAGAAGATTAGCCGGGTGGTAATGTGGGGCATAATTGCGCCGTGTGGCTGTCCCTGAAGTGAAAACCTAATTGCCTGACAGGACGATAACTTTGTGGCGCCCTCACCTTGTTAGGCCCTTTCTGATGCAGTTCAAATGCAGTGTGGCCGCAGGTGCGCCTAATTTACCTCTCTGCAGAACGTGTGGAGTTTAATTGCACAGTGGTTGTTAGGAAAAATTGGTGGGTGGAATATCAAGTGACTTGCTCTAGCTGATGGCAGATGGTGTTAAGAGGCATTGTGAGCTAAGTGTATAGGTGAGTCGAGTTAATAAAAGATGTAAATTCTGGCCCAAAGTAGCAGGGACTCATGGTATGTAAGGAAATTTAATTGAATGGCCACCATTCTTAGCCTCATCAAAGGGATTCTCTTCTGCCCTCCTTGGGCCTTCCAGGATGTGTTGGGAAGACAAACACGTCTTACTCCATAGAGTCTTTTATTTTCTCATATTGTATTCGCTAACGAAGAACCCTGAGCATGAAAGACCGAATTCCAGGAAGTACTGTAATTTTATGAAGTACGGTAAAACATCAATCACTTCCAAATAAGACACGTGACGTTCAGGGAGAAAACCGAGTAGGCATTTTCTGTAGCCTTGCTGCACAGGCTCTCAGCCACAGTGGCGATGTGCTGGCAGGGAATCTTCCTTCCACTCAGTGTGGATGTGGCCTTTGCACATCGAGGTGGAGATAGTGCAGGGACAGGCTCCACGAGGGGGGTCTCACAGCCAGGCTGCCTAGTGTTCACCTGTTCATACTAAGACAGCACATCTGTTTGTACAGGAATGGGGAAGACGGGATGACTGTGTTTTCATCAAAGCCTCTCAACACACTGTCAGGACACCTGTATCTTTCTGCTGCATACAAGGTCAGGTCTGATGGGAGGTGAAGCTGGCTGCCATGTTTGGCCTCTTCACTCCCACCAGGGCTGTTGCTCCTGTACTCTGTCTGAGCAAGAGTTTTGGTGAAAACACCAAAACCACCAGCTGGTCACTTAAAAACACAGAGATAGATGGTCCACAGAAATCATGGAAAACCCCACACCCTTTCCTTCCTGAGGGTTAAGCCTATTGTTACTATTTTTCTTTTTTTAATTGAATTTATTCTTTGACTACTTTATACTCGCGTGTAATGCATTCTGAGTGCCCTCACACTCCTACTCCTGCTTTAAAGCTTGGTCTTTGCTGGTGTATTTGCTTTAGCAAGATAAACGCTGCAAACCGGGGTTTCCAGATAAATGTAGCACATTCAATAGAATTTCAACTTTGATATTTTTACATAGATTCACCGTAAGACACCCCTATGCTAAAAGTCAATTGTTGCTTATCCAAAATTCAAATTTTACTAGGCATTCTGCATCTTAATAGGCTGATGTCGGAGTCTCTGTCTGGGGTGGGCGTCTCTCTAAAGGCTAATAGTTAATGCAAGGATCCTTGCAAGACAGAGTTACTATAAATCTTGGGAATCTGTAGTGTCATCAGACAGCTGTGCAAATTGTCACTCAGAACGGAGACCAGGAGCCTCTGTCTGCCAGCCCCACAGCTGCACTCAGCATTGCCCCCTACGTGGCAGCCAGTGGTGGCATCTTTTCTGTTATTTCTGTGCAAGCCTTTTTTTTTTTTTTTTAACGTTGTCCTTTTACAGGCTAACCTTAACTGTACATTCTTTGTGTTTTTGTAGATTCTTTCTAAAGTTCTTCCTCAAGTGCAATCAGAACTGCTTGAAGAATGCAGGCAACCCTCGGGACATGCGGAGGTTCCAGGTATGCATCCCTCCGAGGCGCCAGCTCAACCTGCCCATTCTGCCAATGTTTCGGAGTACTCCACTATTCAGAAAGGCCGTTAGTTCCCCAAGGCTAGCAACACACTAGCTTTGATTTGTTTGATAAAAATAGGCAAATGAGGAGCTGGATGATGGCTCAGTGCTGTTCTTGGGTTCAGTTCTCAGTGGCCACATAGAGACTCACAACCATCTCTAAGTCCAGTTTCAGGGGATCTGACACCTCTTCTGTTCTCCACGGACATCCACACTTATGTGGTCCATCTACTATACTCAGGCATACACATATACACCCAAAATTAAATAAATAATTTAGAGATAGACAAATAAAATACCTTTTAAATGATCTAGTGTTTTCAGTATGCCAGATATGAGCCTGTGCAGAGTCAGGAAGACAAGATGATCAGGTTTCCCACAGCCTCCTGATATCAGCTCTCCAAGCTTGGCCAGGCTGAAGATGCACATTTTTAGGGATTGAATGGCCAGTTGATGGATTGTCATTGTGTGTGGGGATGGTGAGTGGGAAAAGAACCATAATGTAAGTGCTCTAGAATGCTTGCTGTCTAGAGCCTCCTCATAAAGGGTTTGCCCTTGCTTAGCACAGGCCTTTACAAATGGCCCTACCCTCCAAGGTCCAAGGTGTCTGACTTCCTCCATTTAGAGTCCAGCTGCCACTTGTCTGTTCTCAATCTCGGCTTGCATGTGCCCATTTGCGATGAGGACTTGGTCTGCAAGGGAGAGGATTTCTCGTTGGCTTCAAGGGCTACTAGCTCTGACAGCATCCATGGTTTTCTTGTCTATGTGGATAATCAGAAGGCTCTGTCAGGGTCATGGGCTTTCTGTATGAGATAGACTGTCTTGCTGATTTTATTGTAAAATTAGAAGAACCAAGTCCCGAATGGAAATGAATCCTAGGTTAGCTACATTACTGAGGGAATCTTACTTGGGATGTCAACTTTGTTGGTCAAGTAGCTCACAGTATTTGAAGGCTTCTGTGTATTCTTCAGGGAGGTATGTGATGTCTGTCTTTTGCCTTCATGGCTCTTCAGGGAAGCAGGTCCCTGTTCACCCATATTGACTTTTGTGACTTGGGATAGCATCTTGTAAAATACTGGGCCACCTTCCTTTTTTTTTTTTTAAATACACAAGAGACCACAAGACATGGGCAAAATTGGTCCATCTAGGCAGAGGAGGTCATACCAGACTGAGTAGTAGGGTTCTGTTTGTCTCACCAATGATGGAGCATGACATCCGTCACAGTTGGCCCACCATGCATTGGGAGACCACAGTGACTCAGGTAACTTGCCTCTCAGAAGGTCTGCCCAAACTTCTGCACATCATGGTATACCTGATGCTTACAATGGTGCCACAGTTTCTGTATTTTCCTATGGGCACACTGCTGAGGTTGGCCCATACTCGGCAATGCAGTGTGCCTGTCTTCTTTCTTTCCCCTTGTGACTAGTTTTTGTTTGGATGACAGAGAACAGTCAGTGTCCTTAAACATTCTTATTTTTACCTTTGCCTATGTCTTCTAACACATCCTGGTCAAGTCTATGCCTCAATACTGGTCAGGTCTCCGTACCAAAGTTCTTTCAGTGCTCAGGACAGGGTGTATAGGTGGAGGCCAGGGAGATCTATCAGACAGGAGCAGCCCTGTGTCCCCTGGGCAGAGACTGCTAGGCCACGGGCGGCACCATAGTGGCATCAGGAGCACCCAAGGCAATGCCAGGTTTTCAGAACATGTACTGACCATTTTCTCAGTTCAGACAGTCTGATGTTATTGAGACCTTGCTATCCTGGCAGACACTGGAGGGAAAGGATTCAAGAACACTGCCCGCAGTAGCGGAGGGTGTGTATAATATCATGCCCCATCTTATGGGGCCTGAGGTTTTAAAAGTCAGCTCTTTACACACATATTCCCATATAAACTTGTCATTCTCTTTTACAACTAAAATATTTTTTTACTTTTTCCTGTGTGTCTCTTTGAGACAGAGTCTGACTGTGTAGCCCAGGCTAGCCCTGAACTTACTGTTTTCCTACTTTAACCTCCTAAGTGCTAGGAGTATAGGCATGTACCACTGTGCCTGGCAAAATTATTATTTATTTAATTTGTCTTTCATCAGTTACAGGCAGTTTGTTTTATTTATTTTATCAATAGGCTTTCTCTTAGCGCCATTTCAGGTTTATGAAAGATGGTTGCAGTGATCTTTGAGAGCTCCTGATTCCCCGGGTCCCTTACCTCAGTTTCCCCTATCATAAACATGTCTGAAGGAGACTTACTGATGGATACCACTCACCAAAGCTTGCTGTAGCCTGGACTTGTCACCTCCAATTTATATCTGGCAGTCTTCACTCCCCCCTCCCCTGCCCAGTGTTCTCAGGAAGAGCCGGCCCCGAGACCTCGGGTGGGGCTCCAGGAGTGTTTGAGCCGGGCACCCTTTAAGTCAAATCTAGGCTCACGTCCCACATTAAACCTAGGTTGAGCTCTTCGCTTTTCCAGGCCCTGTGGAAAGTAGTGCGCCACACTGACCCAACTGCGTTAGAAACGAAGCAGCTAGGCCGCCTGTTGCTGTAGCCTGGGTCAGCTGAAGTGTGTCATTTCTGAGACACTTCCTGTGAGTTCACTGAGAAGAGAATAGTTGCCTTCAGCAAAGGTGGTCTCTCTGTATGGTGGCTTCATTTTCTCTTCTCATGAGGCAGCCAAGAAGTCTGCTCTGTCCTCTCTCTCTCCTTGGACACGCTCTTAGCCTCTCCTGGACCCTTGCCACCTTCCCTATGAACTTGAGAAAGGTTTCTTTTCCTGGATTGAAAGACACTTCCACAATTCAAATTCAGTTTTGTTTTTTTTTTTTTTCAGGGGCAAGGAACTTCATTCTCAGACAGTAAACATAATTGTACAGTTGACTCAGAGAACATCTGCTGATAGAACAGGGGTAGATGGGGGAGCAGTAAGAACCCTGATTTTATGAAGCTTTTTTTTGGGGGGGGACAACTGAATCACTCCTCTTAGGTCTTCAGGAGAGGCGAGTCTCTAGTGAACTAATTTAAATTAGATAAACTATCTAATCAATATGTGAGCAGATCAATCAAAACAGAGACTCTCAAATGAGTGGCTAGAGGGGTATTTCGGAAGCTAATGGCTAGGAGAATATTTCTCTGAATTGAATCCACTTGTTAGCATAATAAGAGATTAAACCCTAATTAGTGGAGCAGTTTTTTTTCTTTGAAAAGAAGCAATCTTGAGTCAAAACAAAACAAAACAACCCACCCCCATTAGCCAAAAAGAAAAAGAAAAAAAGCCGTGAATGCACTTCAGTTGGTGGAGAGGTTCCAGAATGAGTGGAGTCTCCTCAGCACAGCCTCTGAGCTGGCTTTTATCTCGCTCGCACGGCACCCGCCCGTGCTTTCCTGTGCCAACTCCATTTTCAAATCCACTTCGTCTTCACAGGTCGTTGTATCGACAACAGTCAACGTGGACGGCCACGTGCTGGCCGTGTCTGACAACATGTTTGTGCACAACAATTCCAAACACGGGAGGCGGGCCCGCCGCCTAGACCCGTCAGAAGGTACGGCCCCTTCTTATCTGGAAAATGGTAGGCACATGCTACATGTATTTTTTTTTTTTAATTTGCAATGCTTCTTTTTCCTTTGTACCACCCTTCATGTTAATTCACGTGGAGTTGCTCTCATCAGGGGACCAGAGCGCCCCAGCCTCATGGGGAAAGGCTAGCTTTCCTCAGGTGGACAGAGGCCAGGCCTCTTCTTCCTCTCCCTTCGTGGTCTGCGTGGCCCTTCCGTCCATCTCACCTGCCGTGACTTTCATGTTATTGGTTTGTTTCTCAGCTTCCTTTTGCTTATGGTTTTCATTTGTTTGGCTTCATTTGACTTATTAGCGGCTCCCATCCAGAAACTCACCCCAAACTCCCTGCGCATGCTTCCATGGCTGGCTGCTTCCTGGCCCAGCTAGCCCAGATGGGGGACTGTGTGGACCATTTCCTATCCTTGGCGAGAGCCCCTGTATATGCGTGCGCTTGTGTCCACACACACATGTGAGAGAGTGGGGGGTGGAGGAGTGAGCAAAAAAAAATAATAACAATAAAGTAAAAACAGAAAGAAACGAAAGCATAAAACGAGCCTTTAAAACAAGCACCTCTAAGTGATCGACTCTGTATCGTTTGTTAAGAGAATTTCGGTGAGACAAGTAGGTAGACTCAAGAGACACTCGGCCATAAGTCCCTCAGACACCTCCTTCTTCCTGCTTGCTCAGACCTCACCCTGCCCAAGAGCCACTTCCTCTATCAAACACACCAATAATCGTGAGACCTGATCAGTATGAGTTACTAGGAAGGGCAACATGAGGGTTTTTATTAAGTGACATGCAAACCAAACAACAGGATTAAATCCTTCAGAAGAAAGATCCTATAAAACTAGACGGTTTTAAGACAAATCCTCCATCCTGAGGTGACGAATTCAAGAGCTGCTTGCGGGAGACAGATGCTGGGAAAGGAAGGGGGCGTGTGAGGGTTAGCTGAATGAAAGATGATGCCTATGTAAAGCGTGGAAGACAATTTATGAATCTGCTGTGGTCCACAAAAATAAACTAATTTGTTTTTCTACATTAATGACTAAGGTATAGGAACAAAAATATAATAATTAAAGGTCGTCTTGAGCACCAGAGTCATTAGAGCCCGTGACGTATTGTTTATCTCCTTCTTGTGCACTGAAGGTAGGTGTGTGTTTTGCTTAGCAACCGTCA